TCATCGCCTTCAAGTTGCCTAGTGTATTTCTAAAAGGTGAAGTTGCACACCACAAGGAGAGTTTCTAGAAATCACTCAATGCAAAAAATCATTCAATGGCAAATTGCAAAGTACACAGAGGCGTTTTCAAAAACAATTCAATACAAAATTGCAAAGTACACGGAAGCTTTCCAAAATTCACAAAGTACATGGAGCCTTTCCAAAAATCATTGAAGGACACGTTCTAAGGCACATGTAGGCATTCCAAAAACCATTCCAAAAGTTCGACCCTATAGTCTACATGACATGCCCTTATCTACAGAAGACGCTTCCATACAGTCTATATGACTCCCCCTCTTCGCCACAAGCCGAAAAGTCCTGCATTACGTATGAAACAAACCCTACCTCTAATACGAACATGTCGAAGACCTACACGAAAGCTGATTCGAGCCGAAGACCTACACGAACGCTGATTCGTGCCGAAGTCCTGCATTAGACAAAAGGTCATCCGAACCTGACATGATGTTCACCTGCCTACACACGTCCCAAACAGAAGCTCATCCAAGCCCGACATGATGTCCACAACGTGATAGGGTCAGACCCACTGCAAAAGGAGTGAGGTGATAAATGAGAGTCTATTTGCATATAGAATCCGAATACCCTGAGACGATGAGTATCTTCGTAGCATGCGTCGGGTGAAAAGAGTTAGTACGATCTTCATGGTAGCAGCATGTTCAGTCTTCGAGTTGCCTCCCGCGATCGTCGTCGTTGTGCTCGTCTATGTTGAACTCGATTAAAAGGACTTGGTTCGGAAATTCGGGCTTGAAGATCTGCTTCGATACTTGACAAGTCGCGCATGAGTATATCTCTTAAAACTCGATTCAAATTGCTCCAGTGACGGATTTGGAACGGACAACGGTCTCCCCAGAACGGGGGGCTTTCATCATCTTCTCTCACGCTGGATACAAAGAATAATTCTCCATCCAAGCAGGAGACGATATGCATGATGAAGATCGATAAGAAAAACGTAATGGCAGGCTCACAACCTTCTGGCATTCTATCGAAAGATGTGCTGGTTATTTACGAATAATACAAACAACTTCTCAACTCCCCTTCGGAGGCAATGTATAAATCAATTCTGAAGACGGGGCTGTCGCGTAGTGTGGCAATCACAATGTACTGAAAAACTGTGGTAGGCGGGGCGAAACAGACGGCTGGACACGAGCGCGAACGTCTTCGGGGACCGGAAGGTAGCGGTATCTGGGAAGCCCAATGTTGCCAAACCACTCTAAACCATAAATGTTCTCAGCTGCGCCAACAACTGCACTTCGCAGACTTTCGCAGTAGCCGAGGTCTCTGACAATGACCGTCCCACTAAAACTTCCAGACGACATCCTGCATCAGAAAAGAGAACAACACCCTTGCCATATACGGAGAGGTGGGTAAACGGCAAAGTTGAGACCGTGTGATGTTGGCAAAGTGCAAATGAACTCGTAATTAGATAGACAGTTTGTCATGCAATGGGGTATACCAAAGGGGACGGGGCATGATGAACGAGAGATAAGTAAGGGGGCGAACATGAAATTCAACGGGCTGTAAGCATAATGCGAGTCTATTCGCACTAGAAAAAACACGAAGCAACTAATTCAGAACGCCGCTAGTGAAGATGTAGATGTCCAACATCGCTGTAAGGGCAGTCGCACACATATCTCGTCTTCCCGTTCCGCAGAGTCACTTCCTGAGGTCCAGAGGCTGAATAATCTAGATGGCGGTAAACAAATTGCAATTCGTTGTCCCTATGTTCGACTGTGAAATTTATTTCGTCGCAGCTATCGAATGGGTAGTGAAGTTGTTGGTGCACCAAACAGTCGACCCGCAAATGCAGCTCATCTTTGAGGTCCAATATCAGGTGGCTGCATTGGGAGTCACAGGGTCTATACCACATTATGTGAAGAAAGCCCTAAACAGGATCTCTCCTAGATCCACCATTGGAGTGTTGGCAGACCAATGGSAAAGGGCAATTGTGGCATATAACCACAAGATATGGATCAAAAGGGATGAAATACTAAGACGGACCTCGGACCCTTTTGCCACCACTTGAGAAGGACTCCTAAGACTCGGGATAAGAACGGGAAAGTCTGATAATTCTATCCGGTGAGAAACAACAAAGTCAAAATGGCGCAAGACGTTTTGACATAGGGGAACTCCCACCCCATCGCAGAAACCTGGAAGGCCATCTCRGTAAAATGGATCACGGCSCTCCTTAGGTGCRAATAAGGAGGAAACCAACCTCGGGGAGTGGGAGACCCGAGGAAATMMATCCATGAAACGGGAAAAYCAACAACGAAAAAGCGAACCCAGGAATTGGGAMGGGAGGAAGCRATAAGGGAAGCCAAGAAGAGCAAGTAAAGGRAARTGGAGCAAGCGGTGTCAACATTGGAAGGGGCAATGTTGCAAAGGAATCCGAGACCCTTTAACGAGGGAATCGGGAGTCAAAGCGGCATCCCCCCGGCAGTGTCGRTAGGACCCCTCGAAGCCTYGAGGAGAGTGAGATGTGTGCCCATCACTCGTGCGGAACAGCAGTCCAACCGATACCCCTCGCTGCAAAAACATGCGGACTCTCTCAACCATGAGAGGGGCGTTATGATGAAAGGGCTAGGCTTGGAACGACCACGTGCCAGCCCGCCTCCTTGAAAAAGGGGGTAAAAAGGTCGGGGTCTATATAAAATGACCTAAGAAAGGTGGTACGGCAAATCTCATACTGGAGCGGTTATCATTGGGACGACGACATCGAATGGGAGGGTTAATCTGTCTAGTATAAGAAACGGCTAAAGTTCTCTAACGGAACTCCCTCCTGGGAAAGTCCTACCCAGCCTCCAGGTTGAACCCGCTGGGAACGGACGCCGCCAAGGGAGCGGCACTTGCGAAACCTAGAGAAATTTGAGTTAAGCCCTGCAATGTTCACCCACCAACAGGGAACGTAAGCTGGGTTTAGACCGTCGTGAGATAGGTTAGTTTTACCCTACTGATGCACCGCCGTCGCAATGGTAATCCAACCCAGTACGAGAGGAACCGTTGGTTCGCACAATTGGCAATTGTGCTTGGCTGAAAAGCCAGCGGTGCAAAGCTACCGTGCGTGGGATTATGAATGAACGCCTCTAAGTCAGAATCTGTGCTTGCAGCGACGGCGTATGCCTCCTCGGATGACACAAGGCTGTCGATAGGGCCAGCCGGTC